TGAACTGACCAAAGCCGAAGTTTTACGGCGCCAAGTCAACATTGATCCTGCCATACGGAACAACACGCGGAAACACATGTCACCAGGAGTCACAGCCAAATATCCTTTGACCCCGAGTCCAAGTCACAGCCCACCATACATCTCAGGAGGAGGACGCCGATTTCCACAAAGATCAACTGATTGAGGCCAACTGCCCAAACGAGTGGTGTTGGGATTGGTGGACAATGATGCTTTTGCCGGCAGCAAGGAAAAGAACCCCCTACCATTTCAAGCACAACAACGTGACCAGTCTCAAGCTGAAACTCAATGGGCAAGAAGTGCATGGCACCGAAATCAAAAGTTTACTTTCAGGACAACAGTGCCTCGCTCAAACAGTTGTACATGAACCTGTTCCCAACACGGACACCTGTGGCAAGAACATCCCTGCAACCTCACCCTGACGAATTCAGGAACGGATTCACCGCGGTGGGTGGTGGATCTGACGGCAGATCTGGGTGCAGATGAAGGGTATAACTACCCACGACAGACGGGCAAGTTGGGACTTGAACTTCAGTTTGCAGAACCCCTACCACGCTCGGCCACGCTGTCTGCTACGAGGAATACGAAAGCGTTTTGGAAATTGATCGGTTCGCAACGCTCTGATGGTCTAAGGATGGACGACGGCTAATCACAGTGGCTTGACGACCAAACACTTGAACGCCTTACGTACAACAGGATCCCCTGCTGCACCCTCTACCAAGGTACCTTTGCCCGAGATCACTTTGCCACCACCGTGCTGTGTGAACAGCAGGAGGAACATTATCCTAAAGCCTACATTGTCAACACGACCCCAGCCATCTCCCAGGACAACACTGGTGTGCGGTATCGCCCAGTACCAGGTGCCATGGACTACTTTGACAGTTATGGACTCCATCCTTACCAACAGCATCCAGACTTTCGAATGTCATGACCTTCGCCGGATGGCTCCAACAACGTGGAATGGCCAATCACTTCAACCCTGGTTCAGTGCCTCTTGTGGGATGTACTGTTTGTATGTACTGGCTCATCGTGCCCGTGGATGGTCTTTTGACGAAGTGTTGGAACAGTTTGATCCCTATGATACCCTCGTCAATGAAGAACGTGTAAGACGTTGGTTTCAACCCGTACGTCTGACAGACAACAACAACACTGGCCATGATCCACACCCCTGCCAAAGGACACAACCTTATCGTTCTGATGTGACGATGTTACAGTTCTGATGTTACAGTTCTGATGTTACAGTTCATACCGTTTGTAAACAAAAGATCAGGGACGCCCCTAATCCTGTCTCTTTTGTCAAAGTGTTCTTGTTAGCGGGGAAATAAAACGTTTGAAAAATGTCAACCTAGCGTTGTTATTATTGTTGTTGGCATTGAAATGAACCTTTCTTTTGAGAGAGATGGATGGCCCTGAAAAGGGCCGTTTTGTGGTGTGTACTTCACTCCAGGGACCACAGTTGGGTCATACATTGGCAGGGATGAATGGCCATCTTTGTCTTGACGGGGCACTTGCTCCCATGGGTCAATCGGCGGATGTACGTGTCCTTCAAGACAGTGCCACAGTATTAACACATTGAAGGTACCACGATAGTCATCAGTCCCATTAGCGTAAACAGGCAGGCAGCCATGACATCGCTGGCACTGCCATGCCGGTAAGGAGGGTGGCTTATGCTGTGTCCATTAACTCTAAATCCCAGTTTTCAGACATGATTGCTGGTTGTAACACTGCTTCGGGTCATCCCGGCCATCCTATATAGTGAGAGCTCACGATCATGACGTCAGCGTGCCACGCCATTACCCTCACGCGCGACCATGACGCCACCGGGACGTCATTACCCTCACGCGCGACCATGACGTCATCGATACCACGTCATCGATACCACGTCATCGACGACACGTCATCGCTGTCTGGTCGCCCATATATAAACTCCAGCATGGGTCAGTGAGAGCTATCTTCATGCAACATGAATACAAGAAAAGTAGAAGTCATGCGAATCGCCTTTACAGGAAAAAAAAAATTGTGGTAGACGGCAATGCTTACGATGCAGCCCTACCTTACAAGGGAAGGCTGACATCAAAAGGGAAGAGACAGAAGCAGCGGCAGCCCCACCATCCACGGCAGTACCACCTCCGCCACCGGCATGGCAATGTCTACCACCCAATTGGAAGCTCATTATATGCCAAACGTGTTGGAAAGCCTTGCCGCCCAACCAATTCGATGTCGCCCCAGGTGCACCGCACTACGTGTGTACCTACTGCGGGGCGGCGTCCAAGAAAGGGGCTAACCATCTCCACGACGAAGTCTGCCCCGGAAATTTATTTTCCGGGCCTCACCTGCTCTGTCTATGTACCATCACCACCACAAAGTGAGGTCTCACCTTCCCGTCCATACCATCACAACGGCCCTTTTCAGGGCCACCCACCTGGCTCGAAAGAATGCTACATCCAATGTTGTTTTAACCACACACACACACTAACACTTGTCTAGCCACGCCATCGTGTCCGCCTCACCCCTTCTCTCCTTCCTTCCCTCTCCTTTCCTCTCCTTCCTTCCTCTCCGTCCCGTCCCGTCCGCCGCTCGTCCGTTCCGCCATCTTGAAAGGCGTCTACGCTCGCGAGATCCCGCGAGAATCCACGCGATCCCGCGAGATCTCACCCGATCCCACCGGATGGGACGCCATCTTGAAACGCGTCCGCCATCTTGGCCCGGAGGTGACGTCATCGTCATGCGCGCACCCCCCGGAACCGGTCGTGACGTCATCGCGATGCGTGCGCACCCACCGGAACCGGAAGCACCGGAACCGGAACCCGAGTGATCTCCCCTGATGGCGGCACATCCGGTCCCCGTGGGTCGCCATCTTGATCCAAGATGGCGGCGCCCAGGGGGACCGGATGTGCCGCCATCTTGAAAAAGGCGCCAGGGTGACGAGGCACACTACTTAGGCCGTCCCCGGGCGGGTCGAAATACCCCCAAACGGGCCCAAATAAGTGCCAAACATGCGGTTTTTTGCGCTTCCCACATCCGCCCAGCATACCCGCACATGCCCAATGTCAAACCGCACCCCTCCCGAGACTCCTTCCCCCCGCCGTCATACTAAGCACCGCTAACCCTGCTTGCCCGCTGCTGGACTCCAAATAGGCCCAAAACGGGCCCAAATAAGTGCCAAACACGCGGTTTTTTGCGCTGCCCACCTCCGCACACAACCTCCCATCACGTCCCAACGAAAACCGTACCCAAATCGACCCAAAGGGTCGAAATAAACCTTACCCTAGCTCACCCCGTAACCCTAGCTCTTACCCTAGGCCGTCCCCGGGCGGGTCGTGTCACATTTGAGGTGGCTGTCATTCGGTCATTGTGAAATTCACATTTTAATTGTCAGGATATATATATAATGTGTCTGATGAATGGTTTACAACAGTTTCAGGGTTTAATTTGTTTATCAGAAATAAACTTGGCCATAATGCGAACAACACCTGTGCCTGTTGTTCATGCTCTTGGAGAAAGTCGAAACCTATTCCCAAGTAAAAATTATAGTTTTTAACAATTTTAAGTACTTTTTAAATTTTCTTTAATTGTCAATTCTCGGAAATGTTTACTGTCTTTTGTATGACATTATTAGATTTTATGTCTCTTCAATCATTACTATAAAAAGCATACATATAAGCGTTCTGTTAGGTAAACAAATAAAATACGTACTTACCTTGATCAATCATGAACTCCTCCAAAATTGCACCATCTCCAACAATTTCATCAAAGGAAGCATAAAAATTAAAGGTGTATGTGAAAGATGTTTTAGAACAATAAATAGAAACACTCAAACAACGCCCTGTAGTATTTCAATGGCAGATCGGCGATATGTCATATTTTTCACACACCTCAAATACACCCTAACCAAAAAAATTTAGTTATAAAACTATCACTATTACTTGCAAACACACATTTCGCTTCTATAAATTAAACGAATATATGAAAGAAGTTTTTAGCGATAGAATTTAGTCTTTCTTCGCTGTGTACTGAGAATTGAAGCCAGTGAGCTACAACATGCCGAGTTGAAACTTTACTACAAATCTACTGTACTAATACTGACACTAATAACAATTATTTGACTTAAAATGAAGTGACATAATAGGTAAGTTATCTTCTACATGTAGGTTTTCAGTTGTCACAACACTCAGCGTATGTAATCAGCTGTTGAAAATAAACCGGGCCCAATCTTAAAAACTACGCTTCCGCCATATTGGCTACACTAGTCACGTGACCAGCCGAGGCATACGCTAAGGGGCTTTCCGAGGAGTGACCACTCCCCCTTATATAGTCTCCCTGGTTCTACCGATTGTTTTGCGTTCTTTAACATGTTTGGGGAGGGATGGCCGTGGTGTATCATTTATTCTTTCATTCATTCACATATGTATTTCTTTCTTTTGTTCTTTTTCTTTATTTCTTTCAATCATTCACATATAATTCTTGCTCTTAATTCATTCTTTCATTCATTCATTGTAAAATTCCGACTAATACAATACACTGGCTGAAGTACTGTTAAACGCAGCCGAAGTTGCGCTGGGAACGAACCAAGTCACTGTGTGCGTTGGAGCATGACGAGGCACACGTTAATTAGTACAAATGGTAAAGAAAACAAGCGAGTGACCTATCCCTGTTGTAGAGTATCCCTAGTTATAATAAACTGAAAACTACTCCAATCCAACGCTTGCCGGGAGGGTTATGTATTGAAACTCCTAATACTGTGTTTTTCTCTGTATGCAAAATTAGGCTTAAGCGAGTTCTACTATCGCTACGCGAAGTTTGTAGGGACCACTCCTTGTAAAGAATTATTGATGGAAAAGATTACAGTATCCCGTATCTAGATTGTCGCAAGTGTTGGAAAGATATACAGGTTAATTATCAATACCAGTTTTTTTATGTAATATCAATGTTGTTGTTTTTAAATTTGACTAAAAAGTTATTTTTGGAAATTATATCAGAGTTATACAATAATTTCTCCATACGGTCCACAAAATTCGATCACGAGATGTCAACAAAGTATTTCATTTTGTTTGAATCAAGAAAAACATTCACGTAACATGAATATGAACCAGCCCAAATAGCTTTATTTTTGTAAAGTTGGAGTATGAGAAGAGACTAATCTAAAATGTCAACGGTGTTTTTGCACGTTGGTCAGTGTGGAAACCAAACTGGCCGTACATTCTGGAAAACGGTGATCAAAGACCAAAACGTCAATGACAGGTATAGAAATGACGCGTATTATGATCAACGCACAACTGCAGTTTACTAGGGACAGCTCAGGCTGAATGATGTAGATCTGGTGGTAGGTTTTGTGTAGTTATGTTATCCGGGATAGTTTTGTATCTCACATCACATGTCATGTTATATTCAGGTTGTTTAGTAGAAGGTGCAAGTACAGGACTGTCTTCTGGAGCCTGACATTGAAGATTGGCATAGCTTAGAAACTATTTCAGTAGTACACCAAGCGGTACATTGGGAATGCTACCTGTCATGCTCATGATGTTGATCACTGGATTGTTTGGTCCAGACTCAATTGACCAAAACTTACCTGCCCGCATATAATTTAGGTTTGACAAGCGACGTAGTTCATCATCCAATTGGAATTCATCACTTATGAATTAATAATTATTTATTATCCTGAAATATGATGAATATCTTCATATACATGTCTAAATTTTAACCCGACCATCAGGCAGGTGAATTTGAGAATCTGGCAGTCCGTGTTGAAAAAAACCCATCCCGGGCAGTCGAGCAGGCAGATATTTCGAACGCTGATTATGGATATTAGTCATCACTTTAAAGTAGGAAATTGCGTCAATTTACATTTTTCTTCATACGTATCTACAATAACAACCTGAACAAGAAAATCTGAAAAATGATGCTATCCCATTTCTTTTGATGGTTGCTCGTTTGTAATGAACCAATCATCAATTGTGAGATTACAACCAATTCTCAACACTGCTTGTGTCCAACCATTCATAGGCTTGGATTTCCTTTTTGGGAGACACACTTTTAAAATCATTAGATCTTTATCTCTTTGTTATCAAGGATGACATCCAGAAGTATATCTACCCTGTATTAAGGTATAACCGAAACGGTTTCATGATGAGAATATATTGGTCTCCTGGCAGTTTTGGTTTGTCATATGAGATCCTAAATGGATTGGGTGGTCAGGTTCACTGACTTAGTTGATGCATGTCACCGTCCACCATCAGTGGTGATTGATGATCAGGATGTCAGTCACTGAATTGTCTGGTCCAGACTGACTGCTGTCAATAGCTGAAATATTGTAGCATGGCCAACACAGTATTGTGGTGTGTAAATGTGTGTTAAGAAGGTTAATGTTTCGCCTTATTCTGCAGTCACTCCTTCGTGGACCACAATGGCATCCAGCGCTCTGTACATGTCGACAGCGAACCTAAGGTCATCTGGAGTTTGACAAGGTCAATGAAAGTGAGGTGAGCATGGACAAGTAAATTCTTATTTAGTATCAGAGATTTATGTAGATCTGTTGACAGCAGTACAGTATGTAGTCTCAATTCTGCAGCAAATGTCAATTAAATGTGCAAAATAGGAAATAATTTTTTTCTGAATACTAATAGGTGGGGGGATGGGGGCTCAGTCTGACATCTTAGCCAGCTGCGCAGGGTCTTGTAGGAAGACAAGGCAGGTCACACTGGCTACTGGAAAGAGATCGTTTTCTTTTTTCATCCAATCGTCAAATTCTTTATAAAACATATTTTTGGGGGTCCGTACACAGCTAAGCTCACTTCCAGACAAGAGCATTTATTTGTTTACCCGTTTCATTATTAAATTGTGGACATTATATTATGGTTTCAACTATCAGTATCATTGAGCCTTATCTATAAAACATACTTCACATGGGTACAAAGTGTGAAGCCCATTTCTGGTGCCTGCTGTCGGGATATTACTCGAACATTGCTAAATGTGGCGTAAAACTACTCACTCACCCACTCACTCACTCACTCACTCACCCCACTCACTCACCCACCCAACTCACTCACCCCACTCACTCACCCACTCACTCACCTCTCACTCACTCACTCCTCTCACCTCACCCCACTCACTCACCCCACTCACTCACTCACCCCACTAACTCACTCACCCACCCAACTCACTCACTCACTCACCCCACTCACTCACCCCACTCACTCACTCACTCACCCAACTCACTCACCCCACTCTCTCACTCACTCACTCACTCACTCATTCGCCCCACTCACTCACTAAGTACATCCAGCACCAGGAATGAAATAGAAATCTATCTGGTCAGGTGAAAAAATCAAAATCAACCCAGTCACCAAATATATGGGTTCTGTTTGATTTTGAGTTTGGTGTTGTTAGTGCCATTTCTTTACTGCAGTTTATATTATGTCCGTTACAATAAATCTTTCATTATTCAAATCAGAACCTTTGAGCATGTTGTTTCAATGTTAACACATGACCGGAGTGTCCATAATGTCACATCTTATATTCCATCCTATGTCTCTGTATATGGTGGCCTAACAAGCTGTCCAAAAAATTTAAAATAACATTTGATGTTGTTTTGTAGAGAGAAGAATGTGTGTGCTGGGAAGCGGGGAAGAGGATCGAACTGGGCTCTTGGTAAGGCAGCAGTGCCAGCGTTTATTGTCAGATAAACATCTGAGTGAGTTTATGTCGTGGCCAGCTTGTCCCATGTCGGAACTGTCAGCAGCAACATTATGTGACCGGCAGAATGACATACGGCTGTCAACTCACAAATGTTCAGAATTTGTCACCGACAAATATTTTGAATGAGCTTTGGGTTTGCCTGGTGGTTAAAGCGTTCGTTCGTCACGCCGAGGACCCGGGTTCAATTCCCTACATGGATACACTGTGTGAAGCACATTTCTGGTGTCATCAGTCGTGATGTTGTTGGAATATTGCTAAATGCGGCGTAAAACCTAACTCACTCACTTGGCAAGTATACTGAATGGAAGCAGATGGTAGAAGGCCTCAGATCACACTCTTCTTCCCCTTATATATTTGCAGCCAGCTTTCTTGAAACTGTTACCTCTTAAAGCATATTGAACCAAATAGTCCGTCCCAGTATGAACCATAACAACTACAGCTTACAGTGTAATTTCCAGTATACAAAGGCAGATAACTGAGTTAGCCTGGTTGTGGCAGACCACAATGAAAGCTTGAGATTTTCTGATTGCCTCATAATTTGCTGCCATAATGGCATTAACAATCATCAGACCAAAACTCAGTATATGAACTGTCACATAAGGCCAAGAACAAAAATATGTCCGTTACCGGTAACCCGACCGACCCTATCCTAACCCACACACCCACCTAAAATGGATTGCATTGAATTGGCATAATGGGTCCTCACTGACCAAATCTGCAAATATATAACATCAATAATGATTTGATATAGAAATCTTTCAATGTTTCATCACAAGGCATTGTCACTACATGATATGTTATCCTTGAAGACCTCAGGTGCCCACCTGATGCTACTATAAAATACAAAAAAAGTGAAAAAAAAAAGATCAAACCGACCAACCTACCCTATTTTTGAAAAGCAAGTAATAGGAAACGGACATATATTTTTTTTTGACCTAATGCATTGTTCATTTTCTGTTTAGGATACAAGGGTGTTCAGTCTGCAGGTGATGACCATCTCACTGATGATACCATGGAGTGTCTCAGGAAAGAAGTGGAAAGGTAGAGAGTCAGCTCATTTGAATGTAGACACAGAGATCAGGTCATGATGCACAAATGTTAATATAACACAGGCACAGGACAATCAGGTCATGATGCACAGATATTCATATAACACAAGGAAGAGGATCAGGTCATGATGCACAGATGTTGATATAACACAGGCACAGGGCAAACAGGTCATGATGCACAGATGTGGATATAACACAAGGAAGGGGATCAGGTCATGGTGCACAGTTGTTGATATACCACAGGGACAGGGCAATCAGGTCATGATGCACAGATGTTGATATAACACAGTCACAGGGCAAACAGGTCATAATGCACAGATGTGGATATAACACAAGGAAGGGGATCAGGTCATGATGCACAGTTGTTGATATACCACAGGGACAGGGCAATCAGGTCATGATGCACAGATGTTGATATAACACAAGGAAGGGGATCAGGGATGCACAGATATACCACAGGCACAGGGCAATCAGATCATGATGCACAGATGTTGATATAACAAGGGGCAGGACAATCAGGTCATGATGCACAGATGTTGATATACCACAGGGACAGGGCAATCAGGCCATGATGCACAGATGTTGATATAACACAGGGGCAGGACAATCAGGTCATGATGCACAGATGTGGATATAACACAGGGACAGGGCAATCAGGTCATGATGCACAGATGTGGATATAACACAGGCACAGGGCAATCAGGTCATGATGCACAGATGTTGATATAACACAAGGAAGGGGGATCAGGTCATGATGCACAGATGTTGATATAACACAGGGACAGGGCAATCAGGTCATGATGCACAGATGTTGATATATAACACGGGGCAGGGCAATCAGGTCATGATGCACAGATGTTGATATAACACAGGGACAGGGCAATCAGGTGATGATGCACAGATGTGGATATAACACAGGGACAGGGCAATCAGGTCATGATGCACAGATGTTGATATAACACAAGGAAGGGGATCAGGTCATGATGCACAGATGTTGATATAACACAAGGAAGGGGATCAGGTCATGATGCACAGATGTTGATATACCACAGGGACAGGGCAATCAGGTCATGATGCACAGATGTTGATATAACACGGGGCAGGACAATCAGGTCATGATGCACAGATGTTGATATAACAGGGGCAGGGCAATCAGGTGATGATGCACAGATGTGGATATAACACAGGGGCAGGGCAATCAGGTGATGATGCACAGATGTTGATATAACACAAGGAAGGGGATCAGGTCATGATGTACAAATGTTGATATACCACAGGGGCAGGGCAATCAGGTCATGATGCACAAATGTTGATATACCACAGGGGCAGGGCAATCAGGTCATGATGCACAGATGTTGATATAACACAAGGAAGGGGATCAGGTGATGATGCACAGATGTTGATATAACACAGGGGCAGGATAATCAGGTCATGATGCACAGATGTTGATATAACACCGGGACAGGGCAATCAGGTGATGATGCACAGGTGTGGATATAACACAGGGGCAGGGCAATCAGGTCATGATGCACAGATGTTGATATAACACAAGGAAGGGGATCAGGTCATGATGCACAGATGTTGATATAACACTAGGAAGGGGATCAGGTCATGATGCACAGATGTTGACATAACACAGGGACAGGGCAATCAGGTCATGATGCACAGATGTTGATTTAACACAAGGAAGGGGATCAGGTCATGATGCACAGATGTTGATATAACACAGGGACAGGGCAATCAGGTCACAGATGTTGATATAACACATTCATTCACAACTTCTGTATTATGAAAGTCCATACTTCACAGACACTCTTTTTCATGAGGTCATTAATTATGGCCTGCTCTTTAATTGTTTTTTTATTAAGAGCCGCAGTGAGTGTAATGCCCTTGAAATCGACTGTGAGTCTTTGTTCATCAGGTGTGACCACTACATGGGAGTGGTGTTGATGCACAGTCTGAGTGGTGGTACAGGGTCAGGTAGGTGACGTCAGTGGGTGTGATGGGGGTGGTGTCTGAGTGGTGGTACAGAGTCAGGTAGGTGACGTCAGTATGTGCGATGGGGTGGTGTCTGAGTGGTGGTACAGGGTCAGGTAGGTCAGGTCAGTGGTGTGATAGGGGTCAGGCCAGTGTGTCAGTGTGTGTGATAGGGTGGTGTCTGAATGGTGGTACAGGGTCAGGTAGGTGACGTCAGTGTGTGTGATGGGGTGGTGTCTGAGTGGAGGTACAGGGTCAGGAAGGTGACGTCAGTGTGTGTGATGGGGGTGGTGTCTGAGTGGTGCTACAGGGTCAGGTAGGTGATGTCAATGTGTGTGATGTGGGTGATGTGTGAGTGGAGGTACAGGGTCAGGTAGGCGTTGGTGTGTGTGATGTGGGTGGTGTGTGAGTGGAGGTACAGGGTCAGGTAGGTGACGTCAATGTGTATGATGGGGGTGGTGTGTGAGTGGAGGTACAGGGTCAGGTAGGTGACGTCAGTGTGTATGATGGGGGTGGTGTCTGAGTGGAGGTACAGGGTCAGGTAGGTGACGTCAGTGTGTGTGATGGGGTGGTGTCTGAGTGGAGGTACAGGGTCAGGTAGGTGATGTTGCAGTGTGTGTGATGGGGGTGGTGTCTGAGTGGAGGTACAGGGTCAGGTAGGTGACGTCAGTGTGTGTGATGGGGTGGTGTCTGAGTGGAGGTACAGGGTCAGGTAGGTGTTGGTGTGTATGATGTGGGTGGTGTCTGAGTGGAGGTACAGGGTCAGGTAGGTGACGTCAGTGTGTGTGATGGGGGTGGTGTCTGAGTGGAGGTACAGGGTCAGGTAGGTAACGTCAGTGTGTGTGATGGGGGTGGTGTCTGAGTGGTGGTACAGGGTCAGGTAGGTGATGTTGGTGTGTGTGATGGGGGTGGTATCTGAGTGAAGGGACAGGGTCAGGTAGGTGCTGCAGCATGCACACATTGAGGTGTGTCGGTTATTACAAAGTTTAGAATCTTTAAATTTCAGTTAAACAAATGAACACCATTTAATACACATTGATTATCAGTTGTTAGATCTGCATTACCATACAGTACTATGTGAAGACCAATCTGTTTACTGTTGCGACCATAGCAACCTAAAGAAATTGGGATCTGTGGATGATGACAGCTATCATATCTCAATAACTTGGGTATCCCATGTCATCTTTAATATGATGACATGATTTCTTCATAATTTTCCTGAGCTGCAGAACCTTGTGGCTCCATTTCTTAACATTTGTGATACTGGGCTGATTCCACGGCCTACCAGTGACTGTGTACTGTGTTGTAGGTCTGGGGTCCAGGCTCTCCGAGATGATCCGCGAGGAGTACCCGATGAACTATTTGATGTCCTGTGCCATTGCTCCGTGTGTCAGTGGAGAGAGTCCGCTACAACACTACAACTCTCTCCTCACTCTCTCCCATCTACACAGGTACACAACAACATGCCTGTGAAGGTCCGGGTTAGAATGTACCTTCAGTAACCCATGCTTGTCGACTAACGGGATCGGGCCGTCAGGCTTACTGGCTTGGTTGACACATGTCATCGGTTCCCAATTGCGCAGATCAATGCTCATGCTGTTGATCACTGGATTGTCTGGTCCAGACGCGATTATTTACAGACCGCCGCCATACAGCTGGAATACTGCTGAGCACGGCGTAAGACTAAACTCACTCACTCACTCACACTACAACACTACAACACTCTCCCATCTACAAAGGTACACTACAACACTACAACTCTCTCCCCTAAACATGTACACAGCTACTACATGTTCTGAGTGTATAATGCCAACCTGGATATGGTCAAGGCAGCTGTTATAACACCTTCCTGTATATGTTATCTCCTGAGTGTATAATGCCAACCTGGATATGGTCAAGGCAGCTGTTATAACACCTTCCTGTATATGTTATCTCCTGAGTGTATAATGCCAACCTGGATATGGTCAAGGCAGCTGTTCTAACACCTTCCTGTATATGTTATCTCCTGAGTGTATAATGCCAACCTGGATATGGTCAAGACAGCTGTTATAACACCTTCCTGTATATGTTACCTCCTGAGTGTATAATGCCAACCTGGATATGGTCAAGGCAGCTGTTCTAACACCTTCCTGTATATGTTATCTCCTGAGTGTATAATGCCAACCTGGATATGGTCAAGGCAGCTGTTATAACACCTTCCTGTATATGTTATCTCCTGAGTGTATAATGCCAACCTGGATATGGTCAAGGCAGCTGTTCTAACACCATCCTGTATATGTTATCTCCTGAGTGTATAATGCCAACCTGGATATGGTCAAGGCAGCTGTTCTAACACCTTCCTGTATATGTTATCTCCTGAGTGTATAATGCCAACCTGATATGGTCAAGGCAGCTGTTCTAACACCTTCCTGTATATGTTATCTCCTGAGTGTATAATGCCAACCTGGATATGGTCAAGGCAGCTGTTCTAACACCTTCCTGTATATGTTATCTCCTGAGTGTATAATGCCAACCTGGATATGGTCAAGGCAGCTGTTCTAACACCTTCCTGTATATGTTATCTCCTGAGTGTATAATGCCATCCTGGATATGGTCAAGGCAGCTGTTCTAACACCTTCCTGTATATGTTATCTCCTGAGTGTATAATGCCAACCTGGATATGGTCAAGGCAGCTGTTCTAACACCTTCCTGTATATGTTATCTCCTGAGTGTATAATGCCAACCTGGATATGGTCAAGGCAGCTGTTCTAACACCTTCCTGTATATACTGCCTCCGAGGTGTAGTGGTTAGAGCGTCCACCCGGAGTGCAGAAGGTCGCGGGTTCGTTCCCCGACCGCATCATACCAAAAGACGTTAAAATATGGTACTTGTTGGTCCCTGCCTGGCGCTCGGCATTAATGGGTACAACAAGGACTGGTCGGCTCGGAGTCAGTATAATGTGTCTGAGTGGGGTATTCATGCTTCACTGCAGCATGGTATCTCAGTGGGCTAGCACTATAAAACCAGCTTCAGTCTGGGCTAGTACAAGCAGCCGCACATACAGATACACACGCATGCACGTCATCATATGAGCAAAATATTCTCAAGCACGACGTTAAACCCAATTCCACCACCACCACCTTCCTGTATATGTTATCTTCTGAGTGTATAATGTCAACCTGGATATGGTCAAGGCAGCTGTTAAAACACCTTCCTGTATATGTTATCTCCTGAGTGTATAATGCCAACCTGGATATGGTCAAGGCAGCTGTTAAAACACCTTCCTGTATATGTTATCTCCTGAGTGTATAATGTCAACCTGGATATGGTCAAGGCAGCTGTTAAAACACCTTCCTGTATATGTTATCTCCTGAGTGTATAATGTCAACCTGGATATGGTCAAGGCAGCTGTTAAAACACCTTCCTGTATATGTTATCTCCTGAGTGTATAATGCCAACCTGGATATGGTCAAGGCAGCTGTTCTAACACCTTCCTGTATATGTTATCTCCTGAGTGTATAATGCCATCCTGGATATGGTCATGGCAGCTGTTCTAACACCTTCCTGTATATGTTATCTCCTGAGTGTATAATGCCATCCTGGATATGGTCAAGGCAGCTGTTCTAACACCTTCCTGTATATGTTATCTCCTGAGTGTATAATGCCAACCTGGATATGGTCAAGGCAGCTGTTCTAACACCTTCCTGTATATGTTATCTCCTGAGTGTATAATGCCAACCTGGATATGGTCAAGGCAGCTGTTCTAACACCTTCCTGTATATGTTATCTCCTGAGTGTATAATGCCATCCTGGATATGGTCAAGGCAGCTGTTCTAACACCTTCCTGTATATGTTATCTCCTGAGTGTATAATGCCATCCTGGATATGGTCAAGGCAGCTGTTCTAACACCTTCCTGTATATGTTATCTCCTGAGTGTATAATGCCAACCTGGATATGGTCAAGGCAGCTGTTCTAACACCTTCCTGTATATGTTATCTCCTGAGTGTATAATGCCAACCTGGATATGGTCAAGGCAGCTGTTCTAACACCTTCCTGTATATGTTATCTCCTGAGTGTATAATGCCAACCTGGATATGGTCAAGGCAGCTGTTCTAACACCTTCCTGTATATACCGCCTCCGAGGTGTAGTGGTTAGAGCGTCCACCCGGAGTGCAGAAGGTCGCGGGTTCGATCCCCGACCGCGTCATACCAAAAGACGTTAAAATATGGTGCTTGTTTGTCCCTGCCTGGCGCTCGGCATTAATGGGTACAACAAGGACTGGTCGGCTCGGAGTCAGTATAATGTGTCTGAGTGGGGTATTCATGCTTCACTGCAGCATGGTATCTCAGTGGGCTAGCACTATAAAACCAGCTTCAGTCTGGGCTAGTACAAGCAGCCGCACATACAGATACACACGCATGCAGGTCGTCATATGAGCAAAATATTCTCAAGCACGACGTTAAACCCAATTCCACCACCACCACCTTCCTGTATATGTTATCTCCTGAGTGTATAATGCCATCCTGGATATGGTCAAGGCAGCTGTTCTAACACCTTCCTGTATATGTTATCTCCTGAGTGTATAATGTCAACCTGGATATGGTCAAGGCAGCTGTTCTAACACCTTCCTGTATATGTTATCTCCTGAGTGTATAATGCCATCCTGGATATGGTCAAGGCAGCTGTTCTAACACCTTCCTGTATATGTTATCTCCTGAGTGTATAATGCCACCCTGGATATGGTCAAGGCAGCTGTTATAACACCTTCCTGTATATGTTATCTCCTGAGTGTATCATGCCATCCTGGGTATGGTCAAGGCAGCTGTTCTAACACCATCCTGTATATGTTATCTCCTGAGTGTAAATGCAAACCTGGATATGGTCAAGGCAGCTGTTATAACACCTTCCTATATATGTTATCTCCTGAGTGTTTAATGCCAACCTGGATATGGTCAAGGCAGCTGTTCTAACACCTTCCTGTATATGTTATCTCCTGAGTGTATAATGCCATCCTGGATATGGTCAAGGCAGCTGTTCTAACACCTTCCTGTATATGTTATCTCCTGAGTGTTTAATGCCAACCTGGATATGGTCACGGCAGCTGTTATAACACCTTCCTGTATACGTTTCCAGGTTCTCAGATGGAGTTGTCCTCATGCAGAATGATGAGATTTTACGGAAGCTTCAAAAGAGAAATGAGAAAAGTGTCTCATTTAATGCTATGAATCAGAGCATTGCCAACAACCTGTGTGGGGTGTTCCTGCCTACAGAGTCGCTTACCCCTAGCAGGTGATACACAGTTATCTCCCCTTCATGTCATTATTATACACCAAACTTTAATTCATATACATGTATTCATAATGTTTGCTCACAAATTTCTTTAAATGATATGCTACAAATCCGGAATTTCATGTTGAAATGTGACTTATGAATGTATATTTTACTCTTTTATTTCAATAATAGTGGCTGCAGCACAGGCATGGAACCCTGGGATATGGTGCGGACATTGTGTCCTGTGCCATCACTCAAGTTTATTCACATTCTACAAAACGCAAGAAGGTCAGTGCCACAAATTCTTCAGAATTTAGACATTTTGAAATTTAGATTATAATACAGGTAGAGCATCTTCCTGGTAAGCATTCCCATAATCCACAATGCTTTTGGGTGAAAACTGGTCCTGTGTTTCCCATGATCCCTAGTTACCAGGAAGTAACTGGTCCTATGTTTCAACGATCCCTTGTTTCGAGAATGTATCTGGTCCTATGTTTCCCATGATCCCTGTTTCCAGGAGGCAACTGGTCCCATGTTTCCAATGATCCTTGTTTCCAGGAGGCAACTGGTCCTATGTTTCCCATGATCCTTGTTTCCAGGAGGCAACTGGTCCCATGTTTCCAATGATCCTTGTTTGCAGGAAGTAACTGGTCCTATGTTTCCAGCGATCCCTTGCAACTGGTCCCATGTTTCCAATGATCCTTGTTTCCAGGAGGCAACTGGTCCCATGTTTCCAATGATCCTTGTTTGCAGGAGGTAACTGGTCCTATGTTTCCAATGATCCCTGTTTCAAGGAGGCAACTGGTCCCATGTTTCCAATGATCCTTGTTTGCAGGAGGTATCTGGTCCTATGTTTCCAATGATCCCTGTTTCCAGGAGGCAACTGGTCCCATGTTTCCAATGATCCCTGTTTCCAGGAGGCAACTGGTCCCATGTTTCCAATGATCCCTGTTTCCAGGAGGCCACTGGTCCCATGTTTCCAATGATCCCTGTTTCCAGGAGGCCACTGGTCCCATGTTTCCAATGATCCCTGTTTCCAGGAGGCAACTGGTCCTATGTTTCCCATGATCCTTGTTTCCAGGAGGTAACTGGTCCCATGTTTCCAATGATCCTTGTTTCCAGGAGGCAACTGGTCCCATGTTTCCAATGATCCTTGTTTGCAGGAGGTAACTGGTCCTATGTTTCCAATGATCCCTGTTTCAAGGAGGCAACTGGTCCCATGTTTCCAATGATCCTTGTTTGCAGGAGGTATCTGGTCCTATGTTTCCAATGATCCCTGTTTCCAGGAGGCAACTGGTCCCATGTTTCCAATGATCCCTGTTTCCAGGAGGCAACTGGTCCCATGTTTCCAATGATCCCTGTTTCCAGGAGGCCACTGGTCCCATGTCCCATGCTTTCCAATGATCCCTGTTTCCAGGAGGCCACTGGTCCCATGTTTCCAATGATCCCTGTTTCCAGGAGGCAACTGGTCCCATGTTTCCAATGATCCCTGTTTCCAGGAGGCAACTGGTCTCATGTTTCCAATGATCCCTGTTTCCAGGAGGCAATTGGTCCTATGTTTCCCATGATCCCTGTTTCCAGGAGGCAACTGGTCCCATGTTTCCAATGATCCCTGTTTCCAGGAGGCAACTGGTCCCATGTTTCCAATGATCCCTGTTTCCAGGAGGTAGCTGGTCCCATGTTTCCAATGATCCCTGTTTCCAGGAGGCAACTGATCATAAGGAACCAATGATCCCCTTGGTTTTCTGGAGAATGTTTTGTGGACATTGAACTGATCTTACTGTCAGTGAACTGGATCGTTTTGTTTGCAGCAAGGTGGGTTGGGATGGACTGGTGACACAAACCCTCCACTCCCTCCAGCGATACAACGCACAGGGGAAGCCTGTATCCTTCACTCAAAACTGGAGCTTGTAGAGGTTTCTTGTAAATCAAGTAGAACTTAAAGTTATTGAGTTTCTTTCCACAGTTTAAGTTTAGGAATGACTAAATTTCAGTTCATGGAAGGTGATTTGGAAACCATGTGTGTCTGCTAAATGTTGAGGAATTATGAAGTTATGTAGATAACCGGTGTTTGTGAACACAGATACTCATACACCATGTTTTGTGAGAGCTATAATCCGTTTGGCTCAAAAGGGGACCAATGAATTGTAATCCAACTCGAAAACTAATCAAACAACCCAACTCACAGTTCACTATTTGTTATGAGGGAGGAGTGCAAAGAGAGGAACAGCCAGGTGTACGAGGAGCATGTGCACAAGTGATGACAAATTTAATGATTCATTTACCTGTGCTGTGCCGTCTCCATCCTTTCTCGCACACCTGGCTGTTCCTCCCTCGTAACAAATAGTGAACTGTGTCAGTATTTAAATGATAGTTTGTTAAACAGCTTTTCCATTTTTAGGACAAAGTCTGCAAAAAAAATCACAGAGTTGGTCTGATGTTTTATTATGATCAGCGTTTCATTGAGTTTTATATGTTTATTAGTTTTCAAGTGAGATTGCAATTCATCTGTCCGCTTTTGAGCCAAACAGACTGTAGTCAAGTATTCAGTGCCACAAACAGGTCCAGGGATCTGCCTAGTGAACCAACACAGTGTCACTGAAATCTCATTGATCCTCTAGATTGTTAGCCTAACTCACACCTGTCAGACATCCTTCATTGTTCATTATCAGACAAATGTTTGATTACATGTTCTCTTAGGTCTCCCAGATTGGGATGATTATGCATCCGTCATTTTCCTGATGTTATAAGTTTAAGAGTGTAGCCAATCTGGTGGTGGGTCGAGGTGACAGCTGTCAGAGTTTCCTGGCAGCCATGAAGCGAGGGATTGAGGATAAGATCAAGTCCTCCTATAGCTGTGTGGCCTGGAACCCCATGCCTGTTGATTACTGGTCAGGTGAGTTCAAGAGGATGAGATCAAGTCCTATAGCTGTGTTACCAGGAACCCCATGCCTGGTGGCTACTGGTCAGGTGAGTTCTAGAGGATGAGATCAGGTCCTATAGCTGTGTTACCAGGAACCCCATGCCTGTTGATTACTGGTCAGGTGAGTTCTAGAGGATGAGATCAGGTCCTATATATGTGTTACCAGGAACCCCATGCCTGGTGGCTACTGGTCAGGTGAGTTCAAGAGGATGAGATCAGGTCCTATACCTGGTTGCTACTGGTCAGGTGAGTTCAAGAGGATGAGATCAGGTCCTATAGCTGTGTTACCAGGAATCCCATGCCTGTTGATTACTGGTCAGGTGAGATCTAGAGGATGAGATCAGGTCCTATAGATGTACCAGAACCCCATGCCATGGGTGGCTACTGGTCAGGTGAGTTCAAGAGGATGAAATCAGGTGGCTGTGTTGGGCCTGGAATCCCATGCCTGTTGATTACTGGTCAGGTGAGATCTAGAGGATGAGATCAGGTCCTATAGCTGTGTGCACCAGGAACCCCATGCCTGGTGGCTACTGGGTCAGGTGAGTTCAAGAGGATGAGATCAGGTCCATAGCTGTGTGGCCTGGAATCCCATGCCTGTTGATTACTACTGGTCAGGTGAGTTCTAGAGGATGAGATCTGTGGTCCTATAGCTGTGGCCTGGAATCCCATGCCTGTTGATTACTGGTCAAGGAGATCTAGAGGATGAGATCAGGTCCTATAGCTGTGTGTGGCCTGGAATCCATGCCTGTTGATTACTGGTCAGGTGAGATCTAGAGGATGAGATCAGGTCCCATAGCTGTGTGTTACCAGGAACCCCATGCCTGGTGGCTACTGGTCAGGTGAGTTCTAGAGGATAAGATCAGGTCCTATAGCTGTGTTACCAGAACCCCATGCCTGGTGGCTACTGGTCAGGTGAGATCTAGAGGATGAGATCAGGTCCTATAGTTGTGTTACCAGGGAACCCCATGCCTGGTGGTTACTGGTCAGGTGAGATCTAGAGGATGAGATCAGGTCCTATAGCTGTGTTACCAGGAACCCCATGCCTGTTGATTATTGGTCAGGGTGAGATCTAGAGGATGAGATCAGGTCCTATAGCTGTGTGGCCTGGAATCCCATGCCTGTTGATTACTGGTCAGGTGAGATCTAGAGGATGAGATCAGGTCCTATAGCTGTGTTACCAGGAACCCCATGCCTGGTGGCTACTGGTCAGGTGAGTTCAAGAGGATGAGATCAGGTCCTATAGATGTGTTACCAGGAACCCCATGTCTGGTGGCTACTGGTCAGGTGAGTTCTAGAGGATAAGATCAGTCCTATAGCTGCTGTGTTACCCAGGAACCCCATGCCTGGTGGCTACTGGTCAGGTGAGATCTAGAGGATGAGATCAGGTCCTATAGCTGTGTTACCAGGAACCCCATGCCTGTTGATTACTGGTCAGGTGAGTTCAAGAGGATGAGATCAAGTCCTATAGCTGTGTTACCAGGAACCCCATGCCTGGTGGCTACTGGTCAGGTGAGTTCTAGAGGATGAGATCAGGTCCTATAGCTGTGTTACCAGGAACCCCATGCCTGTTGATTACTGGTCAGGTGAGATCTAGAGGATGAGATCAGGTCCTATATATGTGTTACCAGGAACCCCATGCCTGGTGGCTACTGGTCAGGTGAGTTCAAGAGGATGAGATCAGGGTCCTATAGCTGTGTTAGCCAGGAACCCCATGCCTGGTGGCTACTGGTCAGGTGAGTTCTAGAGGATGAGATCAGGTCCTATAGATGTGTTACCAGGAACCCCATGCCTGGTGGCTACTGGTCAGGTGAGTTCTAGAGGATGAGATCAGGTCCTATAGCTGTGTTACCAGGAACCCCATGCCTGGTGGCTACTGGTCAGGTGAGTTCTAGAGGATGAGATCAGGTCCTATAGATGTGTTACCAGGAACCCCATGCCTGGTTGCTACTGGTCAGGTGAGTTCAAGAGGATGAGATCAGGTCCTATAGCTGTGTTACCAGGAATCCCATGCCTGTTGATTACTGGTCAGGTGAGATCTAGAGGATGAGATCAGGTCCTATAGATGTGTTACCAGGAACCCCATGCCTGGTGGCTACTGGTCAGGTGAGTTCAAGAGGATGAAATCAGGTCCTATAGCTGTGTTACCTGGAATCCCATGCCTGTTGATTACTGGTCAGGTGAGATCTAGAGGATGAGATCAGGTCCTGTAGCTGTGTTACCAGGAACCCCATGCCTGGTGGCTACTGGTCAGGTGAGTTCAAGAGGATGAGATCAGGTCCTATAGCTGTGTGGCCTGGAATCCCATGCCTGTTGATTACTGGTCAGGTGAGTTCTAGAGGATGAGATCAGGTCCTATAGCTGTGTGGCCTGGAATCCCATGCCTGTTGATTACTGGTCAAGTGAGATCTAGAGGATGAGATCAGGTCCTATAGCTGTGTGGCCTGGAATCCCATGCCTGTTGATTACTGGTCAGGTGAGATCTAGAGGATGAGATCAGGTCCTATAGCTGTGTTACCAGGAACCCCATGCCTGGTGGCTACTGGTCAGGTGAGTTCTAGAGGATAAGATCAGGTCCTATAGCTGTGTTACCAGGAACCCCATGCCTGGTGGCTACTGGTCAGGTGAGATCTAGAGGATGAGATCAGGTCCTATAGCTGTGTTACCAGGAACCCCATGCCTGGTGGTTACTGGTCAGGTGAGATCTAGAGGATGAGATCAGGTCCTATAGCTGTGTTACCAGGAACCCCATGCCTGTTGATTATTGGTCAGGTGAGATCTAGAGGATGAGATCAGGTCCTATAGCTGTGTGGCCTGGAATCCCATGCCTGTTGATTACTGGTCAGGTGAGATCTAGAGGATGAGATCAGGTCCTATAGCTGTGTTACCAGGAACCCCATGCCTGGTGGCTACTGGTCAGGTGAGTTCAAGAGGATGAGATCAGGTCCTATAGATGTGTTACCAGGAACCCCATGCCTGGTGGCTACTGGTCAGGTGAGATCTAGAGGATGAGATCAGGTCCTATAGCTGAGTGGCCTGGAATCCCATGCCTGTTGATTACTGGTCAGGTGAGATCTAGAGGATGTTATCAGGTCCTATAGCTGTGTTACCAGGAACCCCATGCCTGTTGATTACTGGTCAGGTGAGTTCTAGAGGATGTTATCAGGTCCTATAGCTGTGTGGCCTGGAATCCCATGCCTGTTGATTACTGGTCAAGTGAGATCTAGAGGATGAGATCAGGTCCTATAACTGTGTGGCCTGGAATCCCATGCCTGTTGATTACTGGTCAGGTGAGATCTAGAGGATGAGATCAGGTCCTATAGCTGTGTTACCAGGAACCCCATGCCTGGTGGCTACTGGTCAGGTGAGTTCTAGAGGATAAGATCAGGTCCTATAGCTGTGTTACCAGGAACCCCATGCCTGGTGGCTACTGGTCAGGTGAGATCTAGAGGATGAGATCAGGTCCTATAGCTGTGTTACCAGGAACCCCATGCCTGGTGGTTACTGGTCAGGTGAGATCTAGAGGATGAGATCAGGTCCTATAGCTGTGTTACCAGGAACCCCATGCCTGTTGATTATTGGTCAGGTGAGATCTAGAGGATGAGATCAGGTCCTATAGCTGTGTGGCCTGGAATCCCATGCCTGTTGATTACTGGTCAGGTGAGATCTAGAGGATGAGATCAGGTCCTATAGCTGTGTTACCAGGAACCCCATGCCTGGTGGCTACTGGTCAGGTGAGTTCAAGAGGATGAGATCAGGTCCTATAGATGTGTTACCAGGAACCCCATGCCTGGTGGCTACTGGTCAGGTGAGATCTAGAGGATGAGATCAGGTCCTATAGCTGAGTGGCCTGGAATCCCATGCCTGTTGATTACTGGTCAGGTGAGATCTAGAGGATGAGATCAGGTCCTATAGCTGTGTGGCCTGGAATCCCATGCCTGTTGATTACTGGTCAGGTGAGTTCTAGAGGATGTTATCAGGTCCTATAGCTGTGTTACCAGGAACCCCGTGCCTGGTGGTTACTGGTCAGGTGAGTTCTAGAGGATAAGATCAGGTCCTATAGCTGTGTTACCAGGAACCCCATGCCTGGTGGTTACTGGTCAGGTGAATTTAAGGAGCATCATGAAACATACTGAGTACGCCCAGTATGCCCCCAGTACACCCTGGACACACCCGAATACAGTCTCCAGTACACTAGACACCTGCATTGCATCAATAGTGAGTGATTTGGGTTGATGTTGTTTCTTATGTTAAGAGATGAAGTGAGGGACAGGCTGGTTATATCATGTGATACCAGACATTCAACCTGAGCCACTTTGTTCACTGTTAAGTCCCCCACTCATGTGCCTGGTGAACACTTATCTATGGGCCACCTGAAATGGCTGCAATATTGCTTTGTTCAGACATGACCAAGTTTTGAGTTGTCCAGATGTGGCACTGATCTGCTAATCTAGCCACAGACTGTGTGGCAGAAGTTCTGCTTGCTCCAGGCATTAACTTGATGAAGCATTAAGGTCAATTGTCTCAGTTCACTGTGCAGTGCTCCCAATGGTCGAAGTTGTTCTTGCGGAGTAGGTATAACAAAACATTAATAAACGATATGGTCACAAAATATAATGGCATTTATGTAATTCACTTGTGATGTGGATATGTTCCCAGATAGCCCTGTTTTTTAGATATAAGAGCACTTTTCCATTATCTTTAAATACAGTCTGCATGGTCTTTTAAGTGCTGTTATTTTATTGTATCATGCTTTGGTCTTAGCAAGGAGAAATACCCTTGGACCTCGTGACTCCTCCTCGGTCACCATTGCTGCCAACTATGGGTCAGTCGTGGACTATCTGGAGACAGTTCTAGAGAGGTCAAAGGTCATGTTTGAGGCAGGCGCCTACCTTCACTGGTATCAGCGATACGGTGTATGCCAGGTGAGACGGGACTCTAGTGTATGTGTGGAATCAGAGTAGATCATCGGTGTTTTGGAATGTGCAATGGCCTCGTGGCAATCAGTATCAAAATTTGTTACTGCTTGTAGTTACCACAAGTGGGGATCAGGTGGTTGAAATGTGTAACCAGAATAACCAGATTTACTATGAGTTGTCTCCCTGATGCTGATGGTCATGCTCTCAGCTAGTGGACTGTTGATACAGACTGTTGATTGACATGCCTCCATGATTCAGATGGAATCTATGGCAATAAACAACAAGTCCTCAACCGAATCAACCAATGCAACGATTTGTCGACCCATCTAATCTGAAAAAATCTGATGTATATAGATGAATACATGTGATCCGTGAGAAAAGTGTTGTATTGTTACAATATAATTTTCTTTGACTTTCAGGAAATATTTGAAGCTGCATTTGAAACTTTAAGATCAGTCATAGCAGATTACAAAGCAGCCTTGTCTTGACAGGACATACAGGCCACTACGCTAGACCGTCACACCTAGACTGTCACACCTAGACCGTCACACCTGCCTTGAAATACAGGGTTTCTATACTATTGGAGGCCGAACACTTGAGTGGAGGATGTAAAACCGCCCCTGTATGATTGGAGTCTCACTGGGAAGGGGGTCAGGGCTTACACTGGGGAGCATGTGGTCACTCGTGGGGAGAGGGTGCTCAAAGTCATTAGTGGATGGTCACATTGGGGAGATGGTCACTCTCAATAGTGGGTGTTTACAGTAGGGAGTGGATGAGCACAATGGCACATTGATGGATGCTTTGGAGAATGGGTGATCAAAACTGGGAGTGGGTAGGCACAATGGAAGGTGGATCTGTACACTAGAGAACAGACGAGGATGGCCTCTTTGAGAAGTCTTGTGCATTGTGTCCTGTTGTCTCTCTAGCTCTGCTCAGGTCTACCTCTCAAGTATCCTCACGCCATATTTGCCTTCTTGCAGTCTCAGAGTAAACACCTCCTCAAAGTCCCCAAAGTATGATGAAAACCTTACATGGACGACGAACCTTCTCCTACTTCTGCTGCCGCTGTAGAATGGAACAATCCTCCTGAGCATCTCCGCCTCTGTACTGATCTCTCCTCGTTCAGGAGCCAACTCAAGACAAATTAGCTTTTATTCGGTGACCCCCACTAATCTCTCTTCTTTGACTTACTTGTATATAGTGACTCTGGAACTCTTCAGTGCGCTTTCAGCATGTCACAGACATGGATATATGCGCTATATAAATAGTCTATTATTATTAAGTGGATCTGTTTAGTGTAGATTGAATGGCTACTGTTGGGAGTGGGTGAGAGTGCTTCCTGAGCATATACCCAGCCTGGGCTCATGCACCATTGCAAGATCATGGATCTATTTGTGTGTCATCATATGGGAATAGTGTATTTGTACAAGTAGATGATACATATGTATTATATATAGATGGATCATGTATATATATATGGAAGATGAAGGTTTTGTAAAAATGCATGCAGGCATTCTGTAGATAATGTACATCGATAAAAGTATCTGTATCCTTGACCGTACGTCTGAATATAATGGTCACTTTGATCACCTTTAAATGTTTAGCGTTTGTTTGGGTTACAAAGTTAAATCCAGTCCTCCAGAAGTGTTGACATCAATAAGATGTCTTGCAGTCAGCCAGATCACCCAATCTATCCTGTCGCCTACTCCGACCAGCATCTGTTGCTGTGGACCCAGTCCCATCAGGACCTTTAACATTAACAGGTTGTGCAGATAAAATCCATAGTTCATATTGCTAAGTGTGGCGAAAAGCAACAAACAGAAATGTCAAAAAGGTGTAACAAGTAACCAGCGATGCACGTGTTTGTACGCGTCTGTGGCCTACCCTCAAATTACTGAAATGTCCTCCCCTGTTCGTGATGTCCCTGAAAACAATTGTTCAACACTCCCACTTTCTGGCTCTCACACCTGAGGTCTGCCTGTCGGTGACATCTTGGTATCGCACTTCATTGCCGTCGTGATGTAGATGATGTTGCTGTCCATGGTATTCGCCTGTTTACTCTCCTGCTACAGCAGGTTTGATTTACCCACTGGCGTTTACCTTTGGCGTGCGATCTTCGAGATGAAACCAAGTCATGAAACTTTAACTCGGGTTGCGTAACGGCCCGTACTGCCTCATCTTGTTAGATGAATCAACCTGTAGAACAGCCTCCTGTTGATTTAATTAGCGTCAGTTCAATCAATTACGTTAACTGGTATGAAAACTATTGATTTCAGGTTGTTATGATAGGCGAGGGAGGGTGCCTTCTTTTTCTTTTCTTTTGTGAACATTTATCTGATTAGACGGCTGTTTAAAGGAGGTGGTCAGGCGCCAGACTAGAGCAGTGAATGGTTCAGGGTGAGTGATCGAAAAGGAATGGAGCAAGTTAGAAAGACTACAGCTTGAGGCAGCTCGTATAGTAACTAGCCTACCCAAATACACGCCGAGTAGAGTTCTTTATTACGAGACTGGGTGGGAATTGTTATCAGAGAGAAGAAAGAAGCGTGCTTGTTTTATAAGATTAAACATGATATCGTGTCTGTTTTAACTGAACTGCTACTTATTATACCTTACGTAATGCTGAAAGTGTGCCCCATCACTAAAATTTTCAGCCTCTTCATTTTATCAACTATAAAGCCTGGAACAAATCATTTAACACATTTCATCAGGTTAAGATTAAAACAATGTAATAGTGCCCCATCATACTTTTCATCTGGTATTTGTAATCTAGAATAACACACAGGTTAAGATACAATGTAAGTACGCTCAACTATGTCCCTGTAGATGATCTTTTGAAAATGTACATCATTATTTCATGGATTGTCCCCGTTTTAAATTACATAGAGAAACTTTGTTAGCTAACATAAGTGATATTTTACAAAATAGATATTTACTAGATATATGCCTTATTTTATATGGCAATGCAGACACCTCAACTGAAGAAAATCTGAATATCTTCAACATGTCCATCGTTACATCAATCAAACTAAACGATTCCTCTGTTCATCCTAATCTGATATATTCTCAAACTCAAGATCTCTCATGTATATGTTCTCTGTTTCTCATGTACAATTGTTGTAAATACTGGGAGAGGGCGTCAGTAAGTTGGATAACTTGCGCCCAATCCTTTTCTTCAATGAATAAAATATGTTTAAATCAGGAATGGAGCAGTGAATGTAATCCTTATATCCACAGAAATGTGTATCATGGAAACATTCATTACATCCTATCAGTTCTTTGTCACGGAATGATTGTTGGGCTTGTTGCCTCCCGTTATACGATATGTTTCTGCTTTTTACTGATGTTACTGGTCTTACGAGAATTTGTATGAATGTCTTGTTTCATGTTTGTGTGCTTGGTGAGTTCTGACAACACTAAACGAAACTCTTCCTCAGATATCTTAGAATCATGGCCTTCAGTGGCATTTAACTTCGCTTCGGCCAGAACACTACCACTAGCCTAATGCTGCCACTTTTGAATCATAAATATTTTTTACAGCGAAATTACAGCTTGGGTGTATCTTCTCGTAATGTCCATTAGTTTCTTGTTACTTCAAACCCAAACCCGACGAGCCAAGAATATCTGTTCAACACCTCAATCCCTTAGTGCCGAGGCTGGACCACCTCAGATATGTTTTCACTAAATACAATGTAATACCCTGCCCCCTTCGTCAACCAGACCATCAACAACACCCTCGACCCAACAACCAAGCCGCCCCGACAACAAACAGCCCTCTTCACCATCAGTCTACCATACATAGGATCAACTAGTCATCCCGTCATCACATCATAGGATCAACTAGTCATCACATCTGACGGCTCTTGAAGCAGCAAGCTGACATAGACGTCACCTTCCAAAGAGGCAACAGCATCCAGAACCTCTTGCAGGCCACAGGAAGACCCAAGTCGTCCCAGAAGCAAGACCCCTCAGGTGTGGTTTACCACATAGAATGTGACTGCGGTGACTCCTATGTTGGAGAAACATCAAGGCCACTCAGGATCAAGTAACACCAGGCTTCAGTTAGAAAAAAATATTCTAAATCAGCCATTGCCCACCACATCAAAGCCCATCCTAACCACACTATAAAATGGGACAAGACCAAAACCATAGAAAAGAACCAGTCAGACTACAAAATTCGTACACTTTTGGAAGCAGTACACATCAAGAACCCGCCCTCAACAGAGATGAAGGATACTACATTCCCAATGCCTACCATCACTTGATAAAGTAATCAACAATATTCTTGTGTACATTATCTGTTTCAATTCAACCATGTACATCAACCCCATCTATTGTATAAACATCCACCTGGCTTCCTATCAGTTGTATAAGCTATAATTCAGTACTTGTACGTCACCCTACTGGCTTCCTATCAACTTACTCAATCTCTTATACAAGCGTTGTACATCAACCTCCTTTATTGTGAAAACAACTCATTCCCTATCTACTGTAATAACAACTCATGTATATATTCTCTTAATTTGTTACTCATGCATCACCTGCTTGACGACATTAGAATCTTTGTCGAAACGTCGCCTCCACAGAATAAAAGAAGTTCTATATCCATAATAATTGCCATTATTCTTCTACTTCAAACAAGTTGCTTGAACACGTCCCCAAATAGCATCAATTGGTGATGTGCATGTTCCACAAAGTTAATCTATTAAATATGCAGGTGTATATCTCAGTACAAATAAATCATCACTTGAACGTACACAGTCTGCATGGGAAAAGTTACGTGTACTCATCATAATAATGGATTGTATTTTGTCTTAACCCTATATCTGCAGCAAGTATCTTGGAGAGGACTACCATAGCATGTGGCCTCTATGCATGCATCGTGTGGGGTTAACTTCCTCTTAAAGAGTGTGAAATGCTTGAAGTTGTACGCCAACTGAGTAAACATGTTCATGGACTACACAAGCGCACTCCCAGTATGTTTGTATTGGATGCCATTGGTATCATGCTACTACAGTATAACATATGAAAAGAGCAGTCTACCTACTAGGAAAGTTTTGTAACGCAAACTATAAATATGTCTTAAATGCAATGTAAGTTTAAGTTATGTTTATAGTTCGCGTGGTATGTTCTGAATGCTGGAAAACCTCCGGGAACAGACGTTTAAAATATTGTCCGGTATTATAACATTCTGATCAATGTTTCAAATGCAATCAAGAACCCTTAGATTGTGTCTGGGATGCAGGTTTCTTCATATTATGGAAGCTCGGTATCAAGGACTTATCTACAGACCCGTGAAGGTCTGGGTTAGAATTGATCTTCAGTAATCCATGCTTGTCGTAAGAGGCGACTAACGGGATCGGGTGGTCAGGCTCGCTGACTTGGTTGACACATGTTCCCGATGTTGCTCCTCCCATGCGTGTAAGACCAGAGGCGTCGTTTATCTTCAAAACTCCTTCATGTGAACAAATGAGTGGTTGATGTGTAGTTACTTACTCTGAGATGAGTCCCGCGGGTCTCGGTATCCATTAAGTACTCTTTTCAATGATAGTCGAGTGAAGTAAGCGACAAAAGAATGTGTTTCCTGCAGAGTGTAGATATTTCTAGAATATCCACAACAACACGTTTCCATTTCCTAATTTATGTCTTGTACGTTGTATCGTAAAACACAGCGAGCTGTCGCAGCCCCGAATCCTGGCATACCAGGAACGTCTACACACAGCTTTACATGTGTTACTCCTTTACCTTACGATGTTTTCACTGTAATTGTTTCGCGACCTCGGATGGGATAACCGCCTGTTTCAGCTGGGTGTGTGTCTGCCAAGTACTGTGCTGAGAAACATAGCAATCAAAACCTGGGCAGATCCAACCCGTACTTGCCGTGAGAGTGAAGGAATAAATGGTCAAGCTCGCTGAGTTGGTTGAGTGAGTGAGTGAGTTTAGTTTTACGCCGCACTCAGCAATATTCCAGCTATATGGCGGCGGTCTGTAAATAATCGAGTCTGGACCAGACAATCCAGTGATCAACAGCATGAGCATCGATCTGCGCAATTGGGAACCGATGACATGTGTCAACCAAGTCAGCAAAACTGACCACCCGATCCCTTTAGTCGCCTCTTACGACAAGATAGTCGCCTTTTATGGCAAGCACATGGGTTGCTGAAGACCTATTCTACCCCGGATCCGCTGAGTTGGTTGACGCCATCGATGTTCGCGATACTGAATTGTCTGGTCCAGCCTCGATTATTTACAGACCGCCGCCATTTAGCTAGAAATAGCTGAGAGCGTCATTAAACATCAAACAAACGCACAATTAACACCCTTTCACAGTCGCTCCATCCCGGTTGTCACCGTCACTGCAGACTGATAAAATATTTGTGCGTTTGTATTTCCATTGTTTAATATTCATGATAAATATACACATAAGTACCCACTCCGTGGCCTCTGGACATGTGTGTACCACCCACGATATGTTCCCGCATGTCCATTATGCCAACCAAACCCAGTGTGCAGAATACCCACTACTTCTACATTCCCTCTTTCACCCTGGTCTGTCAGTACCACAACCTTGTTGGTGCGTCTCATCAATGTGTTAGAGAAACGCCTGTAGCACATGCACCCCAGTCTGTACTCCCACTTTGAGCTGACACACCGTGAAATAACTCGAATACTGTACAGTATAACTGACTGGAATACTGTTCAGTATAGCTGGAATACTGTTCAGTATAGCTGGCTGGAATACTGTTCAGTATAACTGGCTGGAATACTGTTCAGTGTACCTGGAATACTGTTCAGTATAACTGACTGGAATACTGTTCAGTATAGCTGGAATACTGTACAGTATAACTGACTGGAATACTGTTCAGTATAGCTGGAATACTGTACAGTATAACTGACTGGAATACTGTTCAGTATAGCTGGAATACTGTACAGTATAACTGGCTGGAATACTGTTCAGTGTACCTGGAATACTGTTCAGTATAACTGACTGGAATACTGTTCAGTATAACTGGAATACTGTACAGTATAACTGACTTGAATACTGTTCAGTATAACTGACTGGAATATTGTTCAGCATAGCTGGAATACTGTTCAGTATAGCTGGAACACTGTTCAGTATAGCTGGAACACTGTTCAGTATAACTGGAATACTGTTCAGTATAGCTGGCGAGAATACTGTTCAGTATACCTGGCTAGAATACTGTTCAGTGTAACTAGAATACTGTTCAGTGTAACTGGCTGGAATACTGTTCAGTATAGCTTGAATACTGTTCAGTATAGCTGGAACACTGTTCAGTATAGCTGGAACACTGTTCAGTATAACTGGAATACTGTTCAGTATAGCTGGCTAGAATACTGTTCAGTATAGCTGGAATACTGTACAGTATAACTGACTGGAACACTGTTCAGTATAGCTGGAATACTGTACAGTATAACTGACTGGAATACTGTTCAGTGTAGCTGGAATACTGTACAGTATAACTGACTGGAATACTGTTCAGTATAACTGACTGGAATACAGTTCAGTATAGCTGGAATACTGTTCAGTATAGCTGGCTAGAATACTGTTCAGTGTAACTAGAATACTATTCAGTATAGCTAGCTAGTATACTGTTCAGTGTAACTAGGATAATGTTCAGTATAGCTGGCTAGAATACTGTTCAATGTAACTAGAATACTGTTCAGTATAGCTGGCTAGAATACTGTTCAGTGTAACTAGAATACTGTTCAGTATAGCTGGCTAGAATACCGTTCAGTGTAACTAGAATACTGTTCAGTATAGCTGGCTAGAATACTGTTCAGTATAGCTGGCCAGAATACTGTTCAGTGGAACTAGAATACTGTTCAGTGGAACTAGAATACTGTTCAGTATAGCTGGAACACTGTTCAGTATAGCTGACTAGAATACTGTTCAGTATAGCTGGCTAGAATACTGTTCAGTGTAACTAGAATACTGTTCAGTATAGCTTGCTAGAATACTGTTCAGTGTAACTTGAATACTGTTCAGTATAGCTGGCTAGAATACTGTTCAGTGTTACTAGAATACTGTTCAGTATAGCTGGCTGGAATACTGTTCAGTGTAACTGGAATACTCTTCAGTGTTACTAGAACACTGTTCAGTACTGAGCGGCATTCACCAAACTCGCGTTTCACGAGCAGCCGATGCGTGCAACCGCTCAGTGTGGTCTATGGAATGTGTTAACTTTGGAAGATATTTTTGCATATGTGGTATTGATAATCCGGTCGAAGAAAGCAAGTTCCGAAATGTTCATATAGAAACAGTCTCTGTTATCTACAACAAAGCCCTCCTCCCACCTGCTGGCGGCGACTTCCAACGTCCGACCCACAACGCAGTAGTCTCGAAGCTGACTCAACAACTGTTTAAAATACCGCACTTCGTCAAAAAAATCTGACCCTTGACTCCAAACCTTTTTCCAGAACACCTTCCTGAAATGCGTATAAAGATCATAGTCCGCCCTGGATAAGTTCTGATGTTTCCTGTAATGTTCCTGCGAGAACATCCAGTGCTGCCGTCTGGTATTCTTGTTGTGAAGGAAATACAGTATGTCTTTTAGACTCCAGCACAGGGTGCGTTTTAGAAGTACCAAAGATTCGTCGAAGTACTCCATGAGCATAACCAAGTCGAAGTCCTTCTCGATTTGACTGATGTATGCCATCGCTGCCGTTCTGTTTGACAACGCAGAGAATTTGAAACCCATATCGTTGGACTGGGAATTGCGGACCCATTCCCTCTTTGAACTGACTGGCTTCTCCTTGTCCAGATAAGCCGCGAGGGGGTTCCTTTGTTGTTGCAGAATCTTCTTTCTATGCTTTCCAACCAACACGTAGTATTCAAACGCCGACACAAACTGATCAAAGGGCTCTCTGAGTATTGAGATGTAGCGCGTCTCCTTGGGCATGACGTCACGAAATGCATCATGGTGATAGGTCACGTGGTTCCACAGAATGTCATAAGTCTCCCCTGGAGGTGGGGGGAGTATATTGTTTCTGGATACGCTGCCCCTCCGGTGCCCAATGTAATTGTATGCAGATGTGTGTAACGGTTTTCTTGGCACCACAAAGTTGAGATTCCTGGTGAAACCAAATCTCTGAACAATGTTGGCTACTGTAGAGCTTCCAGCTTTGTGGACTTTCAGAAAAAGCGAGTTTCGTGACAGGGTGGCATTTGGCCGGCCATCTTGGCTTGAACTCCACACGTACTGGGTCACCGTTGACGACGTTGAAAGTCTCAAGAGCAGGCACCGTAGCCGTGTAGTTCCGACCAATCAGAAGCACAAAGCCCCCGAAACTGCAGGTCAGCGCTGAGAACCTGACAACAATAACAATAAACATAGTAAGGAGGGATACTTCTCCGACAGACTGTTTGCAAACCATGAGCGGAAAGGTTCTGGATACAACTCCATGCAGAAAGAATGTGTCTATAAGAATTTCCCTCTTAAATATATACCTACATTACTAAATACCGATTCCCATTACCTATACTGGCAACAGTTACTCTATAGGAATATGTGAAAAATATGGTATTCTTTTACTACTTTTGATCGGTGTTTAACGATCGACTGATCGTATTGTTTGTTTGCAACGCTTGTTTCAAATGACATGACAAACGAAAAACAATATGATCAGTGAAACTTTTATAGACTGTATATTTACTAGTGAAGCACATGAACATACACTGCAAGCGGTGCGATCTGAGCGTGTGTAAGAACCGTGGCTCCTGCCCAACATGCACGGTGTAATCTGAGCGTCTGTAAGAACCGTGGCTCCTGCCCAACATGCACGGTGTCATCTGAGTGATCTCTGGTTGTTGTAATATATCTTAAAGGGGTAGTGGGTAATCTCTGGAGGTTGTAATATATCTTAAAGTGGGTAGTGGGCGATCTCTTGCGGTTGTAATATATCTTAAAGGGGGTAGTGGGCGATCTCTGGCGGTTGTAATATATACTGAGTCAAAAAAGAAACTTCACAAAATGTAATTTGAAAAATAATGAATAATTTTTCTCTGATGATACATCTATGTATCCGAAATGGGATCCCTATCTTTCGACTCTAGACAAACGTTAGCAAAACCCACTCAAACCCATCCATTCGTCGTGCAAATGACGTTAGTGCCAAATCAGGTTTTGCACGTGCAGTCGATCACGTGATCTTCGCATCGAAGTTTTCTTCATATGCACGTGCTTGCATTGGCCTCAAGAATTGAAAAAACTCTTTGTAACCACAGTTCTAACGGTAATTGAAATGCCACGATTGTCAAATGTGCAACGTGAACGTGCCGTTGTCATGTTGCAAGCGGGAAGATCAGTTATTGACGTCGCAAGAGCAATGGGATGCAGCCGTCGTACTGTGTATGACTTGCGAGGTCGTCTACAACAAACTGGCACCACTTCTGATCGCCCAAGGTCGTGTCGTCCACGTGTGACGTCACGAGCAGAAGACCGTCAAATCGTCCTACGTCACCTACGTGACAGATTTCTGCCGGCTACACGAACCAGGGCTGAGATGTTTAGAGGTCGACTGTCCTCAAAGACCATTCGAAATCGGTTGCGGGCTGCCAATCTCCATTCTCGACGTCCATATCGTGGGCCAATATTGACGCGGTTTTATCAACGTCAACGTCTGCTGTGGGCCCAACGTCACCTCCGATGGACCCTGAGAGACTGGAATCGAGTCGTCTTTAGCGATGAATCCAGGTTTACCCTCAGATTCGCGGACGGCATAGTCTGGACGCGGAGTCTGGAGACGACGTCGTGAACGGTATGCCCAATGTTTTGTACAGGAAGTCGACAGATTCGGGGGCGGAAGTTGCATGGTGTGGGGTGCTTTCTGTGGGAACAACCGTTCCCGACTGCTGGTCATCCGTGGAAACCTCACAGCTGCTGCTTACCGCGACCAGGTGCTCACTCTTGAACTCGTTCCTTTCATGGCGGCTCATGGCCCAGGTCTACAGTTCCAGCATGATAATGCTCGGCCGCATACCGCGATGTTGACACGAAATTTCCTTCAAAACGCTGGAATCAACGTCATGGACTGGCCATCGAGGTCCCTTGACCTTAATCCAAGAGAGCACATTTTGGATGCACTTGGGAGAAGGCTTCGTGGTCTTAGGAACCAACCTCAGAATTTGCAGGAACTTGGCGCTGCCTTGCAAGAGCAATGGCGCAGAATCCCCAACCACGTGTTCACAAGCATCAGGCAGTCGATGAGGAGACGGTGTTTGGCAGTGGTGACTGCGCGGGGCGGCCATACACGATATTGAACTGAGAAATTTCGTATTTTTATTCTTGTGACTTGACATTCTGTATACCCATGTTTTGGAACGGCGGTGTAGCCTAATGGAACTGATTATGGCACTGTCTGTGTATCGAGTACATCACACAGATCTCAGCAATGAAATAATAACAATTTAACCATCTTACCATCTCTTGTTCTTTTATAGTGCCCTGAAGAAAGAATGTGAAGTTTCTTTTTTGACTCAGTGTATCTTAAATGGGGTAGTGGGTGATCTCTGGCGGTTGTAATATTTTAAATCTTAAAAGGGGTAGTGGGTGATCTCTGGCGGTTGTATTGACCCACGAATGGGGTAGTGGGGAAAATCTGGTGGTTGTATTCAACCACAAAGGGGATAGTGGGTGATATCTGGTGGATGTATTAACCAACGAAGGGTGTAGTGAGAGATATCTGGTGGTTGTATTCAACCTGGAAGGGGATAGTGGGTGATCTTTGGTTGTTGTATTAACCAACGAAGGGGATAGTGAGAGATATCTGGTGGTTGTATTCAACCAGGAAGGGGATAGTGGGTGATCTCTGATGGATGTATTAACCAACGAAGGGTGTAGTGAGAGATATCTGGTGGTTGTATTCAACCAGAAAGGGGATAGTAGGTGATCTCTGGTGGATGTATTAACCAACGAAGGGTGTAGTGAGAGATATCTGGTGGTTGTATTTAACCACAAAGGGGATAGTTAGTGATATTTGGTGGTTGTATTCAACCAGGAAGGGGATAGTGGGTGATCTCTGGTGGTTGTATTCAACCACAAACGCGGTTTTATATCCTAAGAAAGATGATACATATTTGACTAAAGACCACGGCAATCTTCTATTTTGACAGACTTAAGACTGCTCGGTGATCACATGACGTCTTCCTGTGTGGAGATGTAGCCAGATCTGCCAGCGGAGATTCGTATCGGGAAAAACGTTCTGATTTTAATGAGATTGCAAAACGTCTTATAAACGTATCAGGCGACATGTGATGTAACAAAAATTCGGTTCAAACGACTTTACAAAATTTCGAAAGGACTCAGTCACCTAAGGTTTCGCAATGAAAGTCTGCCTCTCTGGCCTGTTCGAATTACACATTCGTTCAACTCTGGATCGGTGAACCATATCATACAACAATTCCTTACATCGGGGGAGGCGGAGTAGCCTAGTGGTTAAAGCGTTTGCTCGTCACGCCGAAGACCCGGCCGCGGGTTCGAATGCCCACATGGTGTCCCCCGTCATGACATTGCTGGAATATTGCTAAAAGCGGCGTAAAACCAAACCCACTCACCCACTTGCTCCTTATATCATCAGAAACCCCCAATCCCACACATGCTCAACGATCTATACACGACTCCGGGATACACACCAACGATTTGCACTACCTACCACAGAAAGCAGTTCCTTTGTTTGAGCTTCATCGCCGAACGCCGTGTGTGAGGTTTCATCAGCGTCCAGCACAAGGAGCTGTGGCCAGTCTCCTCCCACTACACATTGCCGGACCTCCCCCAGTGACCTGTGGTGGCTACACAAGGACTGTACCCTCAGTCGAGATGCACCGGGAAATATAAACAGTGGAGGGTGGAGGTATCGTCAGTCGCAGCGTCACAGTCCCGTGAAGCTGACCAGAACGTGAGTTCTTGGGAGTAGACAGACCGGGAGGGGAACTATGCTCACTGACCAACACTCGACATACAGCTGGTGGATGACATGATGTTATGTCAGCCGTTACATTCCTCATGTAGACACAGCACCATGAGAGATCATGACTGTTGTGTCACTGTAGGATCTATCGGATTTAACCATCCTAACACCACGTAAACTGACGAAGAAAATAAAGTACACACCTGGTGTGTGGAGACTAAGAGAGGTGTGACAGTCCCGCGTGTCTCCTACAATTAATTATCCACAAGTGAAGAGATGGACATCTAAAACTTTAACTCCTTTGTCAGTCACGCCGTTGATTGGTTTATGCACAACGGTACAACGTACAACGTTGAAATATAACAGCTGGACACAAGGTAAATGCTGCCGTCTTGCAGCCGCCCTCACTTTGTTGTCACACTGGTCATCGTAATGACGAATCTTTGAAATCCTACTCTGTCGAATCGAGCTCGGATCAATAGAGTCCATATTCAGAAAGTCTTCAGGGTGAGCGATGTGATGTGGGGTGCTCAATAGTACTGCAGAGACAATTGTCAAATGGCACAAACTTTTGGATGAATCGCTTTCTGAAACTGATGTGTGTGGCCTTTCCACATGCCTTTCCACATCAGCTACTTCAAGGAATGTGGGTCAATTGGCCAGTTCATGTTGTTAATAGGTAATAAGCTTTCTTGGCATACAGAAAATGTTCAATGTTCACGATTGCCAAGGAGTCCTACTACCACCTATTATAAAAGTGTAAATTAAAAGAACCTACAACCAAAACTTGTTTGTTGTTATTTTAATGCTTGTTTGCAAATCTGGCTTAAATCCCATAAACACTATCTAATGAAACAAACTGAACGGCAATGCCTTGCGTGTCCTTGTACCAGTCCAACCCTACGCCGTACTTTAAGGTTCGGCATATTGACATGCACAGCACACGGTATGCTGACTCGGAACCTGTAACTTCCTGTCTTGCCTCAAGTCAATGCAGGCATGTACCATCCTTAATCGTGTGTTTGGTACCTGCTCAAGGGGTCGACCATTACGCCCTTCCGCTCTCCGGGAAGACGTTCTGTCATTCTACAAATCGGTCTGGAGGTACAGTGCCCGTAATCCAGGTGGGAAGCTTATTTGTTTACACTTGTCATTTCTGCATTTATCATCTTGTACAAGTATGTAGTATGCGATCTAATGTATACTCGTAATACGGGTCTTTCACATGTTTCCA